TGACGACAGCGGGCATAATTGTCGCGCAATTATCAACCCCGCATCTGAAGCTCAAAAGAACGCCGTGATAATTAATGAGCCATCATCGCACCAATTATGACCTCAAGTGGTGGCCAAAGGAACTGACAATTATAGTACGCATGCGGTTGACCACTACGAACTATAAATACCGTGTTATCTGTGTATGTATCACCCTATCTGCACATGTTTCAGACTGTCCTTCGCTTACCTATGATTAGGGTACCATCTGATCGCAAAAGAGTAAGGAGCGTTAACCGGGGAGACGTACGATGCGTCTGGGCATTGGGGCGGGTCCGTGCTCCTCAAATGGTGTCTTATCGCTGTAAAATAAGTCGGAAAAAGTAATTTACGTAGTGGCCATTATACAACCCTAGTTTCCGCACTTTTTTCTACGGAAACGGTGGTGATAGTGTTTTTTGGGGGGTTGGGAGGGGAGGAATAAGTTTAGCTGGATAGGAACTTTTTAGAACATAGTATAAAAATGTGCCCGAATTTATTTTCCGCGGTCCCTGTGAGTATGTTGCTCTGCGTGTAAATTAAAGATGTGCGCGGCGATCCACGGCGCTGACTGTACTAATGTAGGCGCAGAGCGGTACGTCAGGTAAGTTAAGGCAGACAAACAGCTTGCCATCATTTCAAATTTTCAGGTATTTAAAAAAATCTGAAAGTTGATAATCAGGTTTGTTTTGCAATATTTTAAACGATAATGCAGATTGCGAAGACCTTTTAGAGATTAATCCACAACATTTTTAAATAGAAAGAAATGTAAGTATGCTTATGGCAGTAATTAAAGTTTATTCCACTGCGTATCGTACTTCCCCACACATGAAACTGTCAAACCGACAAAATGCTTCTTCCGCACTAGATAAACTACTGTTAACCATAATTCAATAGGTAAAATATCTTACCTCTTTTATATGCAGGTGCGTTTCTGTGGGGGACTCCAGTTAGGAAGAAACAGTATGCTGTGAAGGTAGATAGTGGTTATAAGGTAGAGTAAATTTGACAATAGGACAGATCCAACGGCGAGGGGCAGACCGAAATTCATAATCATTGCCGGTTGGTTTGAAGACAACATCTGAGTGGATGCCATTCACGAATATGGGCGTTACTTCCTAAGGTCATACAATGTGACCAGGGCGCACCAAAAATCGCTTGCCAATCACTTGTTACATTTTTTTGCAAAAGCTACCTGCCTGACGTGCAGGAAGGCACGCTTAGTGCCTGGCAGGCTACCATGTATGTGCATGTTGAATTAAAATGTAACTATAGTCATAAAGGACGAAACACTTTTTCCTCCAATCCATTTGATT